CCTGGCCATTTTTTGGTTGCAGCCGTCATTGTTGTTTGGCGGGTCCGGGCTGGGGATTCGAACCCGCCACCTTAGGTGTACGTGGCTGGCGCCTTAGCCGCTTGAGCCACAGGCGCCGAGCCAATCTTTAAAAATTTTTGTGGCACACCTAAGATCATCTCCCAGTACACCAGTGTGCCATGGCACACTAGTTGAAAATCATTGTCCTAGAGGCTTCCTACACTTCTTGGTCATGTGGGATTCACCAATATAGTTCCTTGCAAGGCTCACGCTAACAAAGCAGAGAGAAGCTCCAAGAAGCTGGGTGTCAAAATCTTATATAACACGTCATGTAATCTTGTGCACATAGTCTCAAGCATCCTGTCATCTGGGCCATACTCTGTTGATTATAGGTCCCCTGCTCAAAGGAAGGGGTCACAGAAGGGCATAAATACTAGGAGGTGGACGTTATGGGGCCTCCTTAAGTTCTTCCACCATAGATGGCTCCATGTATTTTCATATGTCTCTGATTGTACTATATATGTAATTTCAGACCCTTCTTTTTCACTTAATGTTAATGTTTTCCGTATTGCTATATAGTCATCCAAACCATCCTTCCTAATGGATGCAAGTGTTCCACTGGTTGACTAAGCTATTCCTCTATTTTTGGGCATTTTGGTTTTATTGAGTTTAAATAACATAAGCATGTCATTTTTGCATCAGATGTTTTTTCTGTTGAGAGCTTGATTTTTTTCCCCTTCTTGGGATGATACTCCTTAAAGTTAAATGATAAGAATGCTTAGAGGCATCTTTCTTTACATCTACTATACTGTAAGTGCCAACGATGGGGTCCCATTTACTTGCTTCATTAATTTCTTTTGAGTGTTCTGACCACACTGTGATGTGGACAGGAAAGGATAACAAATTCTCAGTTATGACTGTGCAACATGAGGCCGAGGGGGGACAATTCGTGTCTGACTGAAAGGCCAGGTGGTTTCTGATTGGAATGTTCTAGTTCTGGTGTTTGCAGCCACTATTGTGTCTGGGAGGACTCTAGCAGGACTATCTTTGGCTGAGGTTTTTCTTGTGTTTGTGTTTGTTTTGAACAGCAATATTTCATGCAGTTCAGAATTCAAAAGGTACTTTTACCATGATGCCTTTTTGCCATAGAGCAGCAGTTCACAACCTGTGGGTCGTGATCCCTTTTTAACAATGAAAATACACTGAAGCATTAGGATGGTTGAGAACGACTGCCATAGAGAGAAAATGTCTCCCTCCCTACCCAGGTATGTCCCTCAGGAGGATACTACTTTCTAATTCCTGTGACCTTTAGAAGTGTAGACATACATTTAGTCACTTCTCCCATTTTTTTTTTTTTTTTTTTTTTGAGACCGAGCCTTAAGCTGTCGCCCTGGGTAGAGTGCCATAGCATCACAGCTCATTGGCTCATAACCTCCAACTCCTGGGCTCAAGCTAGTCTCCTACCTCAGCCTCCCAAGTAGCTGGGACCACAGGTGCCCGCCACAACACCCAGCTATTTTTTGGCTGCAGCCGTCATTGTTGTTTGGTGGGCCCGGGCTGGATTCAAACCTGCTAGCTCAGGTGTATGTGGCTAGCGCCTTAGCCACTTGAGCCACAGGTGCCAAGCCACTTCCCCCATTTTTAATATGCAGTGGCATCCTACTGCCTATACTGTTTCACTCCTTGCGTTAAAAAAAATTAATTTTAACAAGTTTTTCTTTCTCTTTTTACTTAATGTCTTCATATCTATGCAAAAAGAACTTTCTTATTTAAAAAATGGCTGTGGTGGGTGGCGCCTGTGGCTCAGAGGAGTAGGGTGCTGGCCACATATGTTGGAGGTGGGGGGTTCAAACCCAGCCCTGGCCAAATACTGCAAAAAAAAAAAAAAAAATGGCTGTGGTTTTAAATGGGAGAAAGGAAAATTCACCTTTTGTTGATGTAGGGTGACAAATCCAAACAAGTGACTGAGGCAAACATCTCAATCAATGGAGATTTTATTAAGCCAGAGTTTGAGAACACAAATGGGAGAAACAAACATCACAGACAAATCTGTGATTGTGTTTTCTTTTTCTGTTTGTTGTTTGGCAGGCCTGGGCTAGGTTCGAACCCATCAGCCCCAGTGTGTGTGGCTGTCACCCTAGCTGCTGAGCTACAGGTGCCGAGCCAGTGACTGTTTTTTCTGAAAGGGAATTTGGGAGCTTCAGTATTTAAGAGGGACTGGGGCCTATGCAAAAAGAAAAAAAAAAAGAGCAGAGGACTGGGCAGTGAAGCAAATGGTTATATTTTTGTCAGGCTCAAGAAATCTACATTTTACATAAGTTAAGGTGAATGTTAAAAGAGAAAAAGGGAATGAAGGAAGTGTCCCTGCTTAGGTGGAAGAATGATCTTGTCCCTGTTCTGCACCTGAGAAAATGAACTGGTAATTTTTTTTTCTTTTTGAGACAGAATGCTGCTCTGTCACCTTGGGTAGAGTACCATGGTATTATCATAACTCACAGCATCCTCAAACTCTTGGGTTCAAGAGATCCTCTTGCCTCAGCCTCCTGACTACAGGTGCCAGCTCCAAAGCCTGGCTAGTTTTTCTATTTTTAATAGACGGTGTCTTGCTCTTGATCAGGCTGATCTTGAACTCCTAAGCTTAAATGATCTGCCTTGGCCTTCCAGAGTGCCAGGATCACAGATGTAAGCTACTGTGCTTGACTAATAAACTTGTTATTTATTTATTTATTTATTTATTTATTGAGACAAGAATCTCACTGTGTCTCCCTTGGTAGAGTACCTTGGTGTCACAGCTCACAGCAACCTCAAACTCTGGGGCTTAAGCTATTCTCTTGCCTCACCCTCCCAAGTAGCTGGGACTATAGGTGCCCGCCACAATGCCTGGCTGTTTTTTGTTGCAGTTGTCATTGTTGTTAGCAGGCCTGGGCTGGGTTTGAACTCACCAGCCTCAGTGGATGTGGCCGACGCCCTACCTACTGAGCTACGGGCGCTGCCTAAATTTGTAATCTATTAACAAAAATTTAGTTTTAGGAGCTAGACTTTAGACCTAAAGTTACAATTTGCATATCCTTCCTTACGGGAGGCAGGCAAGGAATGATCTGGGGGGCCCAGCTCTTCACAGATGCCTGAGGTCTTTGCCTTCCCTTTTGCATAAGGAGCTGGGGGAGAGGTGGCCCTGAGATTTTCATTTTCTTTTATAAGGGTAAGTAAAACAGGATCATTTTTTCTTTTTCAAACATTTTTGAAGGAGGTGGATGATGAGCATGGGCTCCACGCCATCTCTTGGGCACCATGACTGTTGGCACTTGCTTTGGAAAGAAAAGGGGGTGCACTAGGCATCTCTTTGCTGTGCTGCAAGTTATCTTTGCTGAGCCTCAGTGTAGATTGATCCCAGGTCTTTGAGGACAATTAATGGTTCTTAAAAAGGAGCCTGTCATTCTCCCAGGGAGGTTTCAAAGGCACATAAAGGCAGTTTGACTCCAGCTCTCTCCCAAGGGAAGGCTCCAGTGCTCATGGACTGCTGCCCGATGTCCATCTTATACATGGTAGGACTGTGAAATGCCACCCAAAGCTTCTTTCTTGGCTACACTTCCACACAAGCACATAGCTAAGGACACAGCAACAAAGCAAACAGCCAGCCTTCAGATGGGAGAAGGTATTTGTTATGAATCTGACAAAGGCTTGATAACTAGGATCTACAGAGAACCCAAATTAATCAACAAAAAAGAGTGAACAATCCCATCTACCACTGGGCAAGAGACAAGAACAGAACCTTCTCTGAGGAAGACAGATGAATGGCTAGCAGACACATGAAAAAATGCTCATCATCACTAATTATCAGAGAAATGCAAATCAAAACCACCCTGAGATATCACCTAATCCCAGTAAGGCAAGCTCACATCACAAAGTCTCAAAGCTGCAGATGCTGACATGGGTGTGGAGAGAAGGGAACACTTTTATGCTGTCGGTGAGACTGCAATCTAAAATGGCTTCTTTGGAAAGAAGTATGGAGAATCCTCAAAGAAGTCAAATTAGATCTCCCATTTGACTCCCTAGTCCTAGTGCTAGGCCTCTACCCAGAAGAAAAAAAATATTTTATCATAAGGATATTTGCATTAGATAGTTTATTGATTTATAATCACTAAGATGTGGGAAAAAACCTAAATGCCCATTGATTCAGGAATGGGTTAACAAATTGTGACATACGCATACTGAGAGGTCAAAGACTGAAAATAAAAGATTATTCCAAAATGTGAACAGAGGGAAACAGTCCAGGTTCTGTGTGGGCAACATTGGCCTTTATTTCCACCCAGGTGTGGGTGAGCTGAGCTCGAGAAGGAAGTCAGCACGGGTTAGGGTGGATGGAGGTTTCAAGGGGTCAGAAGGGTGGGGGTGGGCACATTCTATTTGGGCAGGTCCCTCCATTTGACTCTCACATATCATGGAATACCATTCAGCCATAAAAAAGGATGGTGACTTCATATCTTTTGTATTCACCTGGATGGAGTTTAAGCACATTTTTCTTAGTAAAGTATCACAACACTGGAAAAGCAATTATCCAATTACTCAGTACTAATATGAAGCCAGTAGAGGATCTGATGCATGCCCACCTAGGAGAAAAACTCCTTTCAATTCAACCTGGGGGAAGGGGAATAATGGAGAGGGAGGGGGTTGGGTGCTGCCACTGAATGGGCACGGTTTGGCACAACTTTTGAGTGTGAGACATAACTATAAGAGGGACTCTAACAAATTCAAATATTATGACCTGGTTGTTTGTACTCTCACGTTAACCTGAAATTTAAAAAAAAAAAAAAACCTCCACATAAGCAAGACAGATCCTTCTTTAAGCAAGGTGTGTTTTGTTGAGGCTTTCATTTGTTACTTAGTCTACCAACAGATTACAGCAGTCTATAGTAATACTGCTGTAGCCCTGTGCTGGGTGTTTTGTGAGCACCGCAGAGTAGGGGTAAGAGCTCTGGAGCCAGATTGCTGGGGGTAGTACCCGGTGCTACCACTTACTGGCTGTGTGACCTCACCTCTTTGTGTCGTATTTCCCTCAGTAGGTTGAGTATTTGTAAGCACAGAGAACAACGCCTGTATGTGGTATCATTGCCAGGACATCTTAGTGTCCACAGAAACCCTCAGGGACCAGTGTCTGCTGAATGCTGGGGACCTAGTCTCAGAAGGAGCAGGCTCATTCCCAGAATCCCAGAGCTCGCAGACTGGATGGAGAGAGAAGACAGGCAGAAAGATAGACAAACAAACCGAGTGTTAGACCAGTGGTCTCAAATTTTTTGATACCGGAGGCCAATTTCATGGAAGATAAGTTTTCTAAGGATGAGGGAGAGGGGATTGGGGGGAGGTACAGGAGGTGGAACTCAGGTGATGATATGAGTGATGGGGAGGGGCTATAAATACAGATAAAGGTTCACTGACTTGCCTGGCCCTCAGCTCCAGCTGTGGGACCTGGTTCCTGAAGGCCACAGACCAGAACCTATTTGGCACCAAGGACCAATTTCATGGAAGATAATTTTTCCATGAATGGAAGTGGAGGGGACAGGAGGCAGAGCTCAGGCAGTGATGCTGTGTGGCCCAGTTTCTAACAGGCCATGGACCCAGTACCAGTTCAGGGGTTGGAGACTGCAGTGGTAGACAACAGCAGGCAGGACAGTGGAGCCAGGCAGTGGAGGGGGATGGCTTCCATAGATAGTCCAAGAAAGCATTCCCTGTGGAAGGAACCACTTGAACGTAGCCAAGGCTGAGATGTGGGCGTGGGCTCGGCAGGGGGTGAAACACCAAGGGGTACAGAGAGTGAAGGGGCAGCATTAGGCTGAGATAGGCAGGCAGTGCACAGTGAGGAGTCCAAATGTTTGGGCAGGCTTTTAGAAGCACTTTTTAAAAATCTAATGATTAAAAAAATGTTAACCAGAGGTCACTGACCCATTTGCAAACATCCCCTTGTAGCTGCAAAACCTAGCATGGAGAGAATAGTCTATCCTTGCCTGCTCTTCCCCTCCTCATCTGTCCCTACAGCCAAAGTTTACATTTTGATGATTGCCTTTTATTTTATTTTTTTGAGACAGAGTCTCACTCTATCACCTGGGTTGGGCTGGAATGCAGTGGCATTATCATAGCTCATAGCAGCCTCGAACTCCTGGGCTCACATGATCCTTCTGTCTTAGCCTTCCAAGTAGCTGAGACTACAGGCACACGCCACCACACTGGGCTAATTTTTCTATTTTTGTAGAGGTGGGATCTTGTTATGTTGCCCAGGCTGGTTTTCCACTCCTGATCTCAAGCAATCCTCCTGCCTCAGACTCTGAAAGTAGCTTATATTATAGGTGTGGGCCACCGTGTCAGCCTCTCCTTCTACATGTTTGAATTTATTAGTACATGTTTTTGCCATTATATACCATTTTGTTTCTCCTTTTCTTTGGAGAGTTTCTTTTTTTCTCAATGCTTAGTCTGTCTTAAATGTTCAGAATAGGAATTGGTCTGTTTAGTGCCTGTCCCCTCTGCTGCTGTGGGTCCAGCACAGCACTCCCAATGGGTGCATAGGTGCTCAGCTAGTATTTGTGGGGTGATTAACTATCAAACAGAGAAGATGCAAAGATAACCAAATGAGAATGGAAGCTTCCGGAATCTGGCCCAGGCTAGAGTGGAAGAGATGAATGCAGAAGAAGGCTAACAGGGCCCAGAGAGGCATAGTATCTGGGGGGCTGGGGAGAAGGCAGCTTCCTCGGGCTCCCTGTCCCTGGCTGGGGCTGTCTCCTTTCTCCCTCCCCTGTGATGGGCAGTTCCCGATTGTGGGGTAGGCAGCAAAACCCCTGGTGAACATGGTCCTCATATGTCCTGCTCAGTGCTGAGACACCTGGGTGAACACTGAGGCCAAAGAGAGGCCTAGTGTCTCATGATTAAGGGGAGGGCGTTCTTTCTTCTCTCCTTGAAGCCTTGGACCTGGCAGGTTTCATCAAGGCCACGAAGAAGGTTCTGGGCACAGTGTCAGATGAGATGCTCGAGGCACTGTTTTTGAAGGTGGACTCGGACTGTAATGGCGTCGTCACCTGGGTGAGAAGGGTACCCTGCTGCCCCAGGTGGCTAGAGGGAGGCTGGAAGGTACAGTCTTTGACCCATCAGTGGAGCAAATGGAGGACTGAAGATGGGGGGTGGTCACAGCCGCAGAAGGCCCCAGCTGGGTGTCTTTGAGAGGCCATCCTGAGACTTCTGTGAGCTGGGCTCATCACAGCTCATTCCTCACCTCCAGTACAGGAGAGTAGTGACACAGTCACTGGTCCCTGTATGAGACCTGTGGAGTACACAACAGTGGGCAGCAAGGGTGTCCCCACCTGCCACGTGGCTCTCTGCACACCAGCCTCCTGCCTGGCTCGGGGGCCACCATGGGGCCACACACAACCAACTCATGGTCCTTGGTGTTCATTAAGAAAAGGCAAACCTATGGCTGTTAAATCCAAAAGTCATAATAATAATGCTTTTGTGTTTTGCAGATTGTAAATGTTCTGCAGTGAGCATAGATAGCATTTAAGTCTGCAGAAAAGTACAGAACATAGTCTGACATATTGACGTAGTAAAGCTGGTAATGATAACTGGCATTTACACCAGGCACTGTGCTAATACTTTTAAAATATTTTATTTAAACTTCATAGGAGTTCTTTGGGGTAGGTGCTATTATTCACTTCCATTTGATTGGGTGGGGAACTGAGGCATAGCAAAGCTATGAAACTTGCAGAGCTAGTTAGTGACTGAGCCAATATTTAAGCCCCAGGAAACTGCCATATCATACTACCCCTTGGTATAGGTATAGATTCTGGGTTTTATTTTTTAAGTTTTTTGCTCTTCTTACTCTTAACTTGCTATAATAAACCTATTTCCAGTATCCCCTGCCCTTTACACAGAGAAGCCTCACTCAATTAATCCTTCTAAATACATGTAACTGCCTATTTCTTGTTAGAGCTTCATACAGTGGCTCATTTTGGCCTTGGCCATCATTTCAGGGATCAAGTAAGTGGCGTCTAGAATTAGCCTAGAGGCCCTGGTTTTGGGTTCTCCCTTGCTGTTAATTTGTTAACATGAGCTGGGCAACTGATACATACTTAATCAGGCCTCATTCCTATTATCCATGAAGCAGGGGTGAGTAAAGAGCTTCTCCTGAGATGCCAGGCATGAAGTGATCTGAAGAGGTATTTAGCGTTACCCGTGAGCTCAGGGGGAAGGGCTTCCTGTGCAGTTTTCACAGGGGCTTGCCCTTGACACATTCGGGATACTAGAATGGGGTTGTTGCTTGCTCAGTCCCCTGGCCAATGCTCTGGAAGCAGCCTCCAGATCTCCCTGGAAGGGGCTGAGGGAGATGGGGAGGAACCTGGAAGCCAGACGTGGGTTCCTAAAGCACAGTGCTGAAGCTGTTGGCCAACACCCTTCCTCCCTTGTGTTTTCTTCCCGCAGGAAGAGTGTATGGATTACATGATGCGCGAGTTCCAGGGGAAGGAGGAGATGAGGAAGAACAAGTACCGCCTGCACTTCTCCCTTCCCATGACAATCGTCCCCCTGTAAGGAGCCTCTTCCCTGGACAGCGGGGCTGAGGGTGGCTGGATGAGTGCTGGTGCCGCCCTGCAGTGAGACCCCTTCCTGAGCCCACCAGCCACTCCTTGGTGGTGCTGACCCAGGTGCTGGCTGCAGGCCTGGTGCTACATGTCCTCTGACTTGTTTCAGCCTCACAACCCTATAGGTCAGTGGTTCTCAACCTGTGGGGCGTGACCCACAGGAACTGTATTAAAGGGCTGTGGCATTAGGAAGGCTGAGAACCACTGCTGTAGGTGTTCATGAGCGGGTAAAGTGGGTGATTTGTCTCCATTTTGTAGCTGAGGAAACAGACTCAGAGGCTCAAATGGATTGCCCCAGGCCAGTAGGTAGGAAGTGGCACGGCCGCTCTGTCCCACCCTTTTTGTTCCCAGGTTGCTTCTCCAGCTTGCTCTGACAGCCAGGCCGAATGGTTCTGGTAGTCCTATCTACTGGGCCACAGATGGCTGTCATAAGCAGGCCGGGGGCTTTCCCCAGAAGTGACAGGGAGAGAATTGCTCCTTGAGCCCTCAGCTATGCCCTGGAGGCTTTGGCAGGCCTGGTCCTCAGGAACTGGTGCCTCTGTGACTCCTGGAGCTTGGTGGTTCTGGCTCTGCCTGAACGTCTGCCTGCCCATGTGTGCCCACTGCTCTCTGTGCTTCTTCCATCCACTGGGGCCACTAGACCTTGGCTCTCAGGGTGAGGAGAAACATCTTTCCCTTTTGGCCATCTTAGATTCATTGGCTGGGGCCCAGGTAGCAGATTCACAAGGGAAGAGCATACAGATTTACTTAACATAAGTTTTACATGACCCAGGAGCCTTCATAAGGAAATGAACACCCCTGTATCCCCCCAAGAAGCAGGGGTTTGATGCTGGGTTGGTTTGTTTTTATGCTGGGTTTGATGAAGAGTGGAAAGTCCTGGAGAAATAGGAGAGGACAAAGAGGGAATGAGCTAGGTGTAATAACCTGGGAGAAACTTAGCAAGGCCTGTTGGTTCAGTCCCCTCTCTTGTGTTCTAGTGTCCTTGGAGACAAGGTCACTCCTTCCCTCCTGCCTACAGAGGGCACCTCTCATGTGAGAGTCTTCTGATCTGCCTCAGGGAAAGGTCAGAAAGTCCTTCCGGAGCATACTGTGTCTTGAATCCCTTCAGCTTAAATATTCAACCTGCCAAGTTACCATATTTGGGGGAGTGTGTCTCCAACCCCATCAGCCATGGCCCTGTCTGCCCCCACTGCCCCGACTTTCTCTAGACCAGTGGTTCTCCACCTGTGGGTCGCAACCCCTTTTTAACAATGAAAATACATTGTGGCATTAGGAAGGTTGAGAACCACTGCTCTAGACTCTCTAAGAATGAGAATGAGGAGTGCTGCAGTGGCTCTGCCCCCAGCCTGCAGAGGACTGCTGTGGGCCCCTGGCCTCCTGTGGGTTGGGGCACCCACAGCCTGGCTGGGGCGAGAGGCCGGGCCAGGGAGCTGGGTCTTGTGGTAAAGGTGTGGTGACCTACATGGGTGACCTGGTCAGGAGAGGGTGGTCAGCAGGTCTGTCCTTAGAGGACCATACCCAGAGCAGGCCCTGGGGAAGGCCAAGAACTAGAAGGAGGTTTCTGCCCTCAAGTAGCCTGGTGTTCAATATAAAAGATTGTTTGTTTATTTATTTTGGAGATAGAGTGTCACTCTGTTGTCCTAGGTAGAGTGCCGTGGCATCATAGCCCATGGTAACCTCAAACTCTTAGGCTCCAGCGATCCTCTTGCCTCAGCCTCCCAAGTAGCTGGGACTACAGGTACCCATCACAACACCTGGCTAGTTTTTTTTTCTTGCTCAGGCTAGTCTTGAACTCCTGAGCTCAAGCAATCTACTCGCTTTGCCCTCCCAGAGTGGAAAAGATGGTTTAAATGAAAATAACAAAAGGATAACTTAAAACCATATTTTGGTTGTGAATTTAATTGAGCAATAATTAATAAATATGAAAAATAAAAGATTTCATAGCCATAAATTTTGGCATGAGCACTTTGAGCCATTTAGATTCCAAGAGTATTTAAAGGACCGAAACAAAAATGTCAAGAAGCTTGTCCCAGCTGGACATAGTGGTGCATGTCTACTGTCCCAGCTACTTGGGAGGCTGAGGAAGGAGGACCGCTTGAGACCAGGAGTTTGAGGTTGCAGTGATATAACCCACCACTGCAGTCCAGGCTAGGTGGAGTGACAGAGCAAGACCTTATCTCTCTCTCTCTTTCTTTCTTTCTTTTTTTTTTTTTTTTTGAGATAGAGTTTCACTTTGTTGTACTCCATGGATTCACAACTCCATGGCATCACAACTCACATCAACCTCAAACTTTTTGGGCTCAAGCAATTCTCTTGCCTCAACCTCCTAAGTAGCTGGGATTACAGGTGCCGGCCATAATGCCTGCTATTTTTTAAAAGGAGATCTCGCTCTGGCTCAGGCTGATCTCAATTCTGTGAGCTCAGGCACTCTACCTGCCTTGGCCTCCCAGAGTACTAGGATTATAGGCATGAACCACTGTGCTGGCCAGACCCTATCTCCTAAAAAAAGCTTGTCCAGCTGAGTGTGGTGGCTCACCTCTGTAGTCCTAGCACTCCAGGATGCTGAGACAGGTGGATTACTTAAACTTAGGGGTTGGAGACCAGCCTGAGTGTGAGACCCTGTCTCTAAAAATAGCTGGGAGACTGGGCTCAGTGGCTTATGCCTGTAATCCTAGCACTCTGGGAAGCTGAGGTGGGTAGATTACTTGAGCTCAGGAATTCAAGACCAGCCTGAGCCAAAGTGAGACCCCCATCTCTAAAACTAGCCAGGTGCTGTGGCTGGTGCCTATAGTCTCAGCTACTTGGGAGGAGAATCACTTGAGCCCAATAGTTTGAGGTTGCTGTGAGCTTTGAGGCCATGGCACTCTACCGAGAACAACAGAGTGAGACTGTCTCAAAAAAAAAAAAAAAATTAAAAATAGTTGGGCAATGTGGCAGACATCTGTATTCCTAGCTATTTGGGAGGCTGAGGCAAGAGCATCACTTGAGCCCAAGCGTTTGAGGTTGCTATGAGCTATGAGGCCATGGCACTCTACCGAGAACAACAGAGTGAGACTGTCTCAAAAAAAAAAAAA